GTCACTGAATGAAATGTAGCACTGAGTATCAAAATGATGAGATGCTGAAAGCTGACATTATAGGTCTGGTCAGTTTTATAAGCATGTTTACTTATTTTTTGTTTGGTTAGTTACTTATTTTAAATCCTAGTTTTGCCATATTGAATATTGAGATATTAGTACTGAAGGGAGAACCAGAGTAGAGGTTAAGAAAATGTGTTTAAGTGAAAAAACTTTGCTGTCCGTAAAGATATTTTTACAGATAAAAATGCTGCAACAGGAATTTTAGTGAGATAATCATTCCAATATTGCTGTAGTGATTAATAGGTACACAAATATCAATAGACCTAGCTTGATTCACAAAAAAGTAAATTATTGCTGGAATTAATACAACCACCAGTTTGTTTTACTATCCAAATTCTACCTGGTGATGCCCCTGACAGTAATGCTGTAAAAACCAAACGCAGCACCGGGCCTCCATCACAGAGACTGATGGCTGCCTGCGTTTGATGTCTCCGGCGGCTGAAGTTGAAAGAGCTTTGCACGTTTCCTGTGCAGCCATCAGTCAGCCATGTTAGCAGCTTGATTGAAGCCTGTCGTCTTAAAAGGCAGCCCCGCTGAAGAATACTCCAACTCACTCTCGCGTTCCCTGTAGTTTGTTTGACTCACTCTTTCTGACTGCACGTGGTGTCATTACATTTAATGTCAATGCCTCAAACTAGGCCATACGGCTGAGGGTTGCCATGTTACATCACATGTCTGGTGAGTGACACATTGTTGGTTTACTGCCACCGGGTGCTTTCTGAGAGTCTACTCACCAATGATGGCATGGCTGTTGCTAAATAGTAATTAGGCTACCTTGCTGTAATTGCAACTTACAGTACGATAGGGACTCGCTTAAAATATTAAAATACATTTTTGCGAGTCATTTCACTGCCGCTGAACTTGTCCCATAGCATCGGGGATGTTCAGACACTGTCAGACAGCCTGACGCGGGGTGTTGTCATCCACAGAGGAAGAGCCCTGGAATGGAGGGAAGCCGAGGGGTCGAAAGGGCCCTGGTAGACAATGGACAGCCAGCCAGCGTAGGGAGGCCAGAGTTAAAAAACATGACTAGTTCCTGTCTGTCACTGGCAGCCAAACAAACTCCGCCGACACTTTCTTCTCCTCCTACTGGTGCGCCTCATCTGTAAACAAAAAGTGAAGTTTTTGGAGGGGCTTAACATATTCGTGTTAATGCCTTTTTGTCATTGTTTGCGGTGATTAACGGCCATCTGACGCAACGTGATTTCCTTCCTCTGCATCCTTCTCTCAGGAAATTCACAGGAAAAAGCATCTGACGCTGAAACAAAAAGTTTCCAGCACACTGTACTATTTAATTCTCTTCTGTCTTGAAGACCCCTTCCCAGGTAGCAGTAGCGACATGGTTTGTTGGTTTCACAGGAAATGCTCAGCTACCACATCTGCAACCACACATGCAACATTCATGCGGTTGGGAGTGTTCAGGGTTAATTTCAGGTGGAAAGATCAAGTATAGATACTGAGATGTGGACTGTGCTTCTCTTTTCGCTTGGGAGGAGTCTTTTGGGTAGTTTTTCCCCTTCTGCTGTCTACTATTACTGCATATGTTCATGCCAGTCATTGTGGGGTTAGTTACTTGTTTGTGTGCAGGATTCTTTACCTCTTTTTGGCAGCAAATTGGCAAACTACCTGTTTACGTTTGAGTCAGTACTACCCGTACTCACGAGGTTGTGTTGTGGTAAAGGTTGCAGGTCTGCACAGTACTGTGGACTGCTGGTAAGATGGACTGCGCCACAATTGAAGATTTCCAGCTTCAGTCCTAATAACCAGTGACGTGTCTCTTCCAACAACTATGAGTCCTGTCTGAAAGCTTGACCTCAGACTGCAAAGTCACTGTAACTGTAACTTTTATGCCATACGCTGTGTGTTTTAGATAAGAAGATATCTGGTTGCCATACGCATGGACATCCAAATGAAGAAGGAAACAAAACAAGAAATATTGCACTAAATTCAGCTAGCTCTTTCTCAAGCTGATCAGGAATATATCAACAATCTTAAGTTTTGTTTTAATGAGACACACAAAGTCTTTCTACATACTTTTTTAGATATATGGCTTGTTATTTTATGCTCATTACTCGTGTATTTTGCATTTCATACACAAGAAAGTCCCTTTCTATCTGTGTTTCCTACAAACATTAAACCTCTTGTCAATGCCAGAATGCCACTGGACATGCCTTATAGAAGTCTGCATATTTAAATCACCAAAGATTGTCCCCCTAGTTCGGCTTAATTAAACTCACAAGCCTGGTAGTGTCCACCATTGAAGACGTGTGTTGGTGTGAAAGCCTGGTAAATGTAAGAGCCTCTGTGCAATTGTAAAAGGAAGCACAAACTCACTGTTGTTCTTTCCTGCCACACAAGGCATTCTCAGCAATGAACCTACAACAGCACGACAGATGGGCCCCTTTAGAGAAGCAGATGCCCTCAATAACCCCTTATCTTCTCCCACTATCATTCACCTATAGCTGTGTAGGCAAATCCCAACTTCCCTTTATTAGCCAAGGCTTAGATTGAGCATCTAGTCAAATGCAGTGTTCTTGGGCTCTCTGCTTTTTTAATGCAAAGTGTTCGTGTGAGTGTAGCAGGAAGCAGCAAATTAAAATCCCAGACAAAGGACACTGATAAGGGCTGTGTTACCTGGCCACAGAGATAAAATATTAAGCTCTCGGTTGTGTCTGTTCTCGGCTGGTGCTGAAAGATACTTTATTTATGCAGGGTTTGACCCCTAACCTTTGTTTGGAGCTAACTAGGTCATTTCCAACCGTGCGCAGAATACATCCTGGGGCTTGCACCTGCACGAACATGTTCTCTTCCTCATGTGATATTTTAGCTGTAGATTCTGTCTGTGTCATTTTTGGATCATTTTTTAAAAAAAATGAAGAGGAGAGAGTCATTTGGTGTTGTGTGTGCTTTTATGAGACCCAGGTTTTGTGGCTTTCTCTTATAGATTTATAGATGATGTGTCTTTTTGCAGTCCTCCCTTTTGAGTTGCACTTCACTGAGACATAACTAGACCTAACCTCCACGTACCGACATCAGCTCTTAACACCCTGTCTGGAGTCTGTAGTTATGTGCAGTCGTGTGACTAATAACAGGGTCTACCTGGAAGCAATTTGACGTTGGACTCTCAGCACTACCATGAAATTTGTCTGCACTCCTTGAGTCACGGACACTTTTCAGTAACAATTTATCTGCGGTAAAACATTCAGTACGGCGTTGTGACAAATTAGTCACGTTCCTTGCTCAATAAACAAACACACACACACCACAACACACAACACAGCACGCAGCACACACGACCACACACACACACACACGATCATCCCAGCACAATTCTAGAGACTACACCCTGCTTTCCTCTATAATTTCACCTAGCTGATTTTGGATTATGCAAGCAGTAGCCTTGCAAACGTAATCAGAAATAGTCTCTACTTTGGTCTGCTCACAGTGTCTGGTATCAGTGGTCTGTCTCAGCTTTAGTCTGGCTTGCCTACATCATCAGGTAGGCCATAGATCTGTGATAATAACAGTTCTGTAGTGTTAGCTCTGCAAGAACTAGCAAAATGGTGGGCTGCTCCTGTCCCTTGTTTTTGAAAGTAATGTATAGAGAGAGATCGAGCTTTGACTGTTAGAGCTGCTTTCTAGTTGCTCGGAAAGTTGGAAGAAGGTGTGATCTCGCCACTGCGTCCACTGCTAGTTACACATGTGCTTCGTACAACTGTTAGCATGCCAGGCTGCCAAGTGGAAATTCTTGTCCCGTAAGTCGTTGACCACAGGCCTGCCAAAGCTCGGCCTCCGGGCTCCATAGCCCAGGAAAGGGCTAAAGGGCCTGGTAATCCCCCTTCTGTCAGCCTCTGGGCTGTTTAGAGATGGCGCAACTGAGTGCAGGGCTTGCACGTTGCCAAGAGGTTGACTGCATTCATGATAAAATTCACCCTGTTTGACATTTAGCCTGCAAACAGAAAGGAAAAGCTAGTGCTGTGCTCGACCACAGTTGATAAAGTCTGCATAAATGCAAAAATGCCCCTTTTAATCATCGCTGCTGTACAGTGAAGTCAAATGGTCAGCTCAGTGGGGTGCTTGGAGCGTAATGGGGTTGGGAGGGAGTGGGGGAGTGGAGAGTTAGGGTTGGCAGAGGGGAGGAAGGAGAGGGAGTGTTGGCAAAAGTGGAGTGGAGTTTGGTATCCAGCTGCTGTGCTAGCAAGGCCGCAGGTGTCGGGTCAGCCGAGGTGATTAGCGCAATGTGATTAGCAACAATGAAATGTGACTGAGCCCTTTTTCCCAGAGTTCAGTGTAGTCTGCAATTTATGTCAGTGTTAGGTGGCAGCACTTTGATAGACTACTGTACATTCTTTAGTTTCCGCAGGATTTATCGGCCCATGCCAAAACACGTTTTCATCCCACTCTGATTTTTCTTTTTCAACCACACCAGCGTTGCTTTTTTGTTTCCTCAGCACCTAGGCCTAATCCCAAAGAATGTATTTGGATTTGGAGTGTGGGGGGTTAGGGCACTGTAATGTGGTAAAGGAATGATTTTTAGCCCTGCTTACCCACCCTCCCTGTATTTCAGCACAAAACCTAATGCTTATTATCGCTGCCTGGTATTTGTCTGGGTTTTTTTCTCCTCCCTCAAATTTCAGAGGTGTTTTTTAGTAGTGTGTGCGTGTGTGTGCGTGGTTTTTGTTTTTCTGTTGAGACTTGTTCCACATGAGTGGAAGGATGTGAAAATTTAAATTCCAGGCACATATTTTAGAAAAAAGGTCACTTAAGTTAATTCACAGAAAAAGACCTAGAGGCCTGTGTGTGTCTGCTAATTCATGATGTCAGTTGCCTTCTAATTAAGTTTCTGACCTTAACCCACTGGACTTAATTTTAGTGTACATGAGAAAACGTTTTTTTCTCTGTAAACTCTTACACCTTTCCCTGATTATTTTCTCTAGGAATTGGGAAGGTGAAGAGCAGGAAGGGGGGAGTGAGAGACACAGCCTCCAACGCAGACACAGACATGTGCACAGATAACGGCGAGCGGCTGTACGACCTCAACCTGCCCGCCCTCGTCAAGTTCAGCTACTCAGCAGAGCGCGAGGACGAGCTGTCTCTGGTGAAAGGCACGCGGGTGGTGGTGATGGAGAAGTGCAGCGACGGCTGGTGGCGCGGCAGCTACAACGGACGCTCTGGCTGGTTTCCGTCCAACTACGTGACGGAGGACATGGATGGGACAGCGGGGGGAGTTGGTATGGGCGGGCTCGGAGACCCACCCGGATCGCTGACAGAGAAGCTGGCGGCCGTGATGAACAGCACCACGAACGGGAACCGAGTGCTGCACACGGTTCAGGCGCTGTACCCTTTCGGCTCGGGCAACGACGAGGAGCTAAACTTTGAGAAAGGCGAGGTGATGGAGGTCGTGGAGAAGCCGGAGAACGACCCCGAGTGGTGGAAGTGTCGCAAAGCGGACGGACAGCTGGGCTTGGTGCCTAAAAACTACGTCACTGTGCTGGACTCCACCTCCCATAAACCCACAGCGGGGCCTGCTGGGCCACCCACGCCTGACTGTGACTACATCTCGCCCTCAGGCAGCGGGCGGTTCGCGGGGAAGGAGTGGTACTACGGCAAGGTGACGCGCCACCAGGCGGAGGTGGCCCTCAACCAGAGAGGCATAGAGGGAGACTTCCTCATCCGAGACAGCGAGTCATCGGTCAGTAGCCTACAGCTGTTTACCAGACTGTCTTTGATTTGTTGTACGTGGTTTACAGCATTAAGTCACACTGTGTGGGCTGTTTTAAGACGAGAGTTAAAGATTATGTTATTAAAATATTTGCTGCTACGAGCCAATCAGAATACTACATGAGATGACATTTTGTGAGCATTTGTGAGTGTCAGCGCTATAGCCAAAGCTTCATTTTTCTGCATTTAAAAGACAAGCGGAACGCCGATAATAAAACGATGCATTTTCCTTTTTCTTTCTACAGCCAAACGACTTCTCCATCTCCCTGAAGGCGCAGAGCAAGAACAAGCATTTCAAAGTGCAGCTGAAGGAAAACCTTTACTGCATTGGACAGCGCAAGTTCAACTCTATGGAAGAGCTTGTTGAACACTACAAAAAGGCCCCCATCTTCACCAGTGAGCAGGGAGACAAACTGTACCTGATCAAGGCCCTGGCTGCCTCCTGATCCCTCTCTGTCACACACACACACACACACACACACACACACACACACACACACACACCCACTTACATACAAACACACACACG